CTAAAGACATTGAAGGCCTTAGCTATTCATGAATTTAAGTCAGACCTTTGTGTACGAAAGAAGTAATGTACAATCCCTACTTCTGCTTTGGCCATAGAGGGATAGACATTTATTTATTTATTTTGTTTATTTAGTCAATCTATGCACCTTCCCCTCACTACTACAACTATTATTATTATTATTCTCACTTTGGATTGTTTCCATTTCTTCCAATTGTCATTCTAAATTCAAAAATGTTTTCACAATGTTGAATCCTATCTAGTGTTTTATATTAGCCTAATAATCCTATAATTATACACCGCCTTCCAACATCTATACATCTTATGAATTATACCATATATGACATTAATTGTTTTACCACTTGACGTTTAACTATGATTATAATCACAAACATTTTAATTTTAATTGTATTTCATACTATTATTATTATTTCATGTATTCACACCTTCGATTCAATTCCCACACCGGATGCAACTTTTAAAAAAGCAAATTATATACTTAAAACAATTAGTTCCCTTTATGAATTTAGGCAAAGCAATAAGAAGACGTAATTTATCTGAATCGTGTAATGTAATTGGGCAACATATTTCGAACAATCTGATCACACACGGACTTGTCATAGGAATAAATAAATATGAAATTAATAAAGGGTTGAGAGGTGTGAAAATAAACTTAGGTCAAGTCAAAATAACAATGAAGATAACTAAACCAAATAACAGAGGTGTAGCGGTAAATAATTCCCCAAAACTATTGACCACAGCAATCACCACTGAACATTGGATGCTGACCCTCACTGTTAAAGTCAACTTGTTTAGCTGAAGGCTTCCGGTCAAGCAACCATGCCATCTGGTACTCCGTCGTATCAAGTTCGTGCACGATCACTAGCTAGTTGAGCATTCATCATGGTTTACTATATGGTCCCGAAATATGTATCGTGCTTTGGACGATCATTTGTGGCGTTTCGCTTTGTCTTTGGTACACGACGAACGAATACTATAGAAGTTGTTGGTATAAGATCTTGCGTTAGTATACTCCGCACAATTCGCGAACGTCAATACCGTCAGCCTCTAAAGAGGTAATATTACCTCTACCCTGGAAAGTATCAAAACAAAGTTTATCAAGGTAGGTTTAGTGTGATGACGAATTGTTTTTGAACTCATAAAAGTGGTTTGAACTTCCTCATTGCTAGCTAGGGCTTCCACAAACTTTAGGATACGCCCCACACATGTTTTATAGATAGGTTTACAAGATGTGTAAGGGTCAATTTTATGTCCTGTCTCTATGGAGGAGCTGGGTCCCATGTTTTCACCGTTAATAGGTTCTGAAGATTCTATTTGCTTCTGGAGCCATTTACGAATATTCTCTGAAGCCCTTACCTGAAGAGATCGATGAGTCCTCCCTATGTATGTGTGTACACACGTACATTCAAATTGGTAAATACAGTGGGATGTGACGTCATTTTTCGGATGTTCAAATTGCTTAGATAGATATATTGGCTTCACATTCTCAATTATTATGATATTAGCTGCATAAAGAGTCTTTTTTAACAGCAGCGTTCAATCTTTGTCTAGTTGTCAAGCTGCTATGATTCCCCATATAGGGTAGCTTGATGTACACGTCTTTCTTAGGGGCGAGTTGTAGAGTGAGTCTTGGTGTTCTGACTACTTTATATCTCCTGAAGAACTTGTCTGGACAATTTTTATCAACCAGAGTTTGCGCCAACTTTCTTTCTTCTTCATCAAGTGTGTCTTCAGTGCAAATTTGTTGGATTCTACTGAAGAGGCACCTCACTCACTAAAGCTCTTTTGTAACGAACAGGGCAAAAACTGTGGTAATTAAAATACTGTCCTGTCCAGGTAGGTTTTCTATAAATAGATCTTTTCAATGACCTATCAGGCTGTCGACTAAGCAATATGTCTATGAGAGATAAACAATTATCTTCCCCTTTTACAGATGTAAGTGATATGCTATTCTATATTTTCTAAAAGTCAGTATTGCTCTTAAGATTACTAAATTCGTTGTAAACAGTCTCTTGGCTGAATATTGTATTCTTAGCGTTACAATGGGAACCATTAAATTTGTAATTAGTTGTGTTCTCTGAGCTAGTTGGTTTAATTGCACAGCTTTCGTCCTTCTTCTGGACAACATCTTCAGCGCAAGTTTTAGCATTTAATGAAGTCATTTTGAATTGTTCATGGATGATAGAATTGTGTCTTTTGGTGATAGTCGGTTTACATATGTATTGATCACTTTTTATCGATTTGAATTTTGAACTTTCTCATCACGTGATTTACTTTTTATTAGTTGGTGAATTTTCGGTCTATATTATAATATGTTTGTCAATTGCCGGTTCGCTTGACTACCAGGCTTTTAGGAATTCTCTGGCACTTTAAGTGTTTCCTCTGTTTAAAATTTCGACACAACTAATTGCAAATCATCCACCTGAGCTACAAATCTTCTCTATTATTTCAAAATCATTCAATTTACTTATATAATAGTCCATTTATAAGATTCAATGAGTTATTTTAGTTACAATATTTAATAGTGTGAAATATTCCCATATCATGAATTCAAAGTCAATCTGAACGAAGAATGTTCATTTCAATTATTTTTCTTGAGGTTCTTACAATTATAAAACAGAATATATTTGTTGTCCTTGCAATAATGGCCAATTATGCGGCGGATACATTTTTTTAAACACAGAATAACAGATTGGTTATGTATGGGGTGTCAAAATAAATAGTCGTATTTGTGTGACAAACATGCTAGGCTGAAATTGATTACAAAATATTGTAAAACGGGAGACAATGGTGGTGATTAATCATAATAGATTTGTAGAATGTGGGGTTGGAAAAACTGACAAGTCAGTTCAAGGTTATAAAAGGTGTCAGGTGAGTGGCTAGTACAAAGTGGTATGTACTAAAGAGGAGATAGTCAGACTGCAATGAGAGGTTCATAATGAAATAAATAATGTGTGAAATGAAACAGGTGGAGGCATATATTGAGAAAAGAGATAATATTACTAATAATAATAAGTCGGGATAGTATAAATGGAAAATTTGATAGTATTGTAAGAATCACGGAATATACACATTTGATCATAGGAATTATTAAAAAGACGGTTGCAGCGAAGAAAATTTTCTTTTCGACGAAGTCATCAACTAGGCTGTACATTCGTGTATTTATGACAAATGGATGGGAAAGTTCCAGAATAATTTCCGGTTAAGGGTAAAATTAACAAAATTACAATTAGGAATTAAAATGACATAATAAACAGGAGGATGGATAAAACTCAAACAAAGTAGCACCATAATTACTGAGAAGATTGACATGTTGTGCAATTAGGGGTTAGAAATGTAGAAATAACAACAATAGACAGGATGTTTGGATAAGAAAATCTAGTGGGATCATAGCTAGTGTAACGAATAATTGTTTATGCAGTTGGGGATTAAATATGTAGAAGTTATAGAATGACAAAAAAACAGGAAGTTTGGAAAAGAAAATATAGTAGTTTAAATAGGGTCAAGAAAAGCTTAAAAATAACATGAATAAACGGGAAGTTTGGATAAGAAAGGCAATGTGATGGTCATTACTAAAAGAATTACCTGTTTATGATGGCCATGGCAGGGACAAGGGTTGGACGTATTTCTTTTGGATAGCTAGTGCCTTGGCTATGCCCAGATGTCTTAATTTTACTCCCTTTGATAGGTTTGATCGAATCTTGTATATTATTTTGAAGGATTTATCGAATGGCACTGGATGTCCTGAATTGACTAGGTGTTCTGTCACTGAACTACATACACGTATTCGATCTCCTTTTACTAGCCAGGCTGGATAGTGTTCACGAGCGTGTTTTCCAAGTTGGCGCATGGTACGGCCGATGTAGTCAGCTCCGCAAGAGCATGTAAAGTGGTATATGCATGTTGAGTTAGCCCAATGCGACAGCTTGTCCTTCGCATTCTGGCTAAACACTTTCTTGCAGGAAAACGTCAGTCGTAGCCTTGCAGCGAAGCATGTTTTCCTCAGAGATTTTGAGAGGCGTTTACGAAGGATTTCTGCTTCAGTGTCACCTTTGAATTCTAGATTATGCAGAAGTATCTTCTTCGCGACGGATTGGACTTGCTCAGAAGTCTTCTTTGATTTGAGATTATTGTCTATGAACCTCGACGGAAAACCGTTTTCCATCAGGTTTCTTCGGAGAATACGCAGTTCTTCGTCAATCACTTCCTCATTGTGAGAATGTTCGCATGAAGGGCATAAATTATGACGAAAGATCATAATAATTGTAATAATAAGCAAAGAAAGGAAAAAAACCAAGAGGGTTAAGGGGAAGAAGCACTCTTGTAGAGAGAAGAAGACTCAATCACTCCAAGTTTGACCACGGTAGGAACAGCGTCTGGATGTATTCTTTTTGGATACAAAGTTCCGGTTTAGTCGATCTTATTGCAACAGCTTCAGATATGTGTAGCAGACGTAAGCGAAGTATACGTGATAACGACTTCGGAATTCGGTATATAAGTCTGAAAGCTGCGTTGACTTCGATGCTATGTGTCCAGTATCGACCAAGTGTGACAGGATCGAGCTTTTTATGCACTTAATTTCCCCCCCCCCTGCTGAACCAAGCTGGTAAATGTTCTCGAACCCATAGACGAACCTGCCTAATCGTGCGCCCTATATAAAACTGTAACAACCTAAAGAGAAATTATTTTAGTTGCATTCAGCTTTTATGATTGTAGACTTTATAAAACATCTTCATTCTGCTTTGTGTTGGCATCGTTTGCTTATTATTATTATTATTATTTATTGTTCTTGTGACTCTTTATTTATTGAATTAAAAGTTAATATACGCGCCAGTAAACAATGGTGATGAATATAAACACCTACAAACGTGTGTGTATGTGTGTTTGTATTTGTCTGTGTGCATGCGTGCGTATGTGTGTATGTGTAGCTCTATAAAGAATAAATAAATTACTGCAGTTTGTACATGTATTTGCTGGGTCGGCTAATGTTTACTGTTGTTGTATGTAATTCAATGCTGTGAGAAACACGTGATAAAATGCGCCATGCTTCTTCTTTTATTCTTTTTCATGACAAGAAAAGAGTAAGTAGTACTACAGCCTCTCTCTGTGAAAATTTCACAATGAAATCAATCGTCATTCCATTTTGTTTTACTGCATCGTTAATAGGCTAGTATAAAAGTTTGTAAAACTTTTGATAGAACTTATAAAGTGTGCAGTATATTAATTCATTTTTATTGAAATCTATCTACAGTGCCAAAGCCTCACCTTTTCAATGGAACCATTTCTGGATGCCTTTTTCGCCATTGATGTTGACCACACTGATAGGATAACCACAAGAGATTTAAGGAAATATGTGGAAAAGAATAATTTAGACGAGAAAATGGTTGAAGTAAGTGTGAATAAATCAATAATTAATTAGCTGTCTTAATATATTGAGTAAAAATTCAATATCTGAGAAATAAAGCTCGTATACCATTAAGCCACTGGGACCCGCCAATTCAATGGCCAGACCATGAATTCTAACTTCTGCCAATTCATGACATAGCCAATTCTTGACCACTTTGCAATGCCTTCTTCGATGAGTTACTGCTACACCCTACTGGTCACGACTTCCCGCTAGAACCCAGTAGAATGCACTGCGAAGTGGTCGTGCTATGTCATAGATTGGCAAAAGTTAGAATTGATGGTCTGGCCATTGGATCGGGTCCCAGTGGCTTAATAGTCTACGAACTCGCTGGCCTTGTAACCTGAAGGTCCTGGGTTGGAACCCTAGAGGTGGGTGCTTACTGGTGAAGAGTCCCAAACTAAGCGGACGAAACAGCTGTCCAGTACTCCCTTCAGGTTTTCCAATGGTTCTCTAACTGATGTCAGCTCATGATGAAATCCTCCAACCAATCAAACAAAATCCCTGCAAAAACCAATACTTGACAAAGAAGGATTTATGAATAAGGGGAGTAAGAACAACTAACACTACGTTAAGTTATCTGATCAGATAGAGATTATTAAGGTAGGTCAAAAGTGATAACAAATTGTTTTTGTACACACAAGGGGAGGGGTGTAAATTTACGAATAGCCAACGCCTCAGAGTATTTCAATAAGCTCTCTTGACCGTTTTCACAAATAACCTAAAAAGCTGTTTTGACATCAGTCTTGTGGTGCATATCGATTAGATGTTTATCCATGGACGAAATTTGTTGTTTGCCACCCGCGTCCATAGAATTTTTCAAAGTTTATCTGTTCCCCTAACCATTTCAGAATATGTTCTCCCACCCTCACATGCAAGGCCAGAATTCTCCTCCCACGCACATACACACACACGTAAATGACATAATCACTTGTACACTTTTGAGGTTTGTAGGGGAGCCTATTTTTGACTTTTTCAATAATTATAAGCCGGGTAGCATAATTGGTTCTACGGATGACCGAGTTTACTCTCTGTCTTAAAATCCTACTATTCACTTCCCCATTGTATGGTAATTTAATGATAATATCTTTTTAGGGACAGAATAGATTGTAGGTTTTAAAACTAACTTAAGTCTACTCCGATTTGAGAAATCAATGGACGCAGGTGGCAGACCACCAACTTCGTCTACAGCTACACATCTAATCGAAATGCACTACAGAATTGATGTCAAAACAGCTTTTAAAGTTATTTGTGAAAACGCTTATTGAAATACACTGAGGCGTTGGTTATTCGTAAACTCAAGCTCCCCCTCTCCTGTGTAAACGAAAACAATCTGTTATTACTCTTAACCTACCTTGGTAATCCTCATCTTATTATATAACCCAACATAGTGTTAATTATTCTTATTACCCTAATTCTTAAATCCTTTTTGTCACTTTGTGTATAGTAATTGGACTTTATTTTGCATAGAAATTGACTTGACAGGTAAGGTATTAGATTGTTCGAAATGTATTGCACAGATGCTCATGTTTCCATTAATCTCCATCTTCTAAGAACACTATTCATAATAATGATAATAGTGGAGTGAAAAAAACTAGGAGAAAACGGATAGGAAAGGCATAATATGAAATGAAAATATGAAATGATTATTTCCTTGGTAACCTTATACTAGGCCAGAGTAATCACAGAGTATCAGTGTGCTTTTGTGCACACACAAACCAGGTTGTTTCTTATTTACCTCCATAGCTTCAGCTATGGTTAAGGGATGTAATCGTGTGCCTTTAGGCTAATTGTTCAGTACTCGATATACAACCATAGATGACTCATCTGTTTCAATGTGGTGTTCACTATCCATTAGATGAGATGAAATGGCCAATGTAACTAGCTCCCCATGAGCATTTAGATTCATAGATGTTCACTGACGAGGACAATATTGGTAATTTATCCTTAACTTGTTGTGTGAGTACTGGTTTAGTTGAGAAATTGAGTATCAATTTAACCACAGGAAATGTTTTCTTTACTGGTTTATTAAGTTGATATTTTAGAATATCTGCTGCAATCTCCCCTTTGTAACTTGATTTGAGATACAAAGGTTTCTTATCTACAAGTCTTCTGGATATCCATTTTCTTGTGGTATCAGTTTCAATTTACACATTTCTTCCTTGATGCATTCGTCCGAGTAAAAACTTTTTATTCTATAACTAAGGCCGTTTTGTATTTAATTGGTGTGAAGCTATGAAAATGGATGTGCTAACCCGTTCAAGTCTTCTTTCTAAATAGGTTTCTTTGTAAATATCCATCTGTCTTCTTGGTGAAGAGGACGTCAAGGATGGATATACTATTGTTTTCCTCTTCCTGACAGGTGAAATGAACATCAGTCAATTAGTTACAAGGGATTTTTGATAAAATAGTGTAAAACTGAGCTGAATTCAGCCTAATTTCTTTGTATTTTCTAAATGGACAATTAAAGTGTTAGAGGGAAATTTGATTTCTTCGTTTGATTGTGCATAGGTAGTGGGGTCAACAGCGAGGTGTTCATTCTGTTTCTGTTGAGCAGTTCAGCTACGTGTTCCTCCATCGCATGTCATATAAAAACTTGACCTGTTGCACTATGGAAATCAGTCAGTGCTCAATGTGTGTTTTATTGTGTATGACTTTTTCCCTGCAGACATTAACTCATTCAATTCGTCGAAAGTTACTCACTCCATTTTTGTAAATGATGATCTCTTGGCTGTTTCACACTTCAAATTGAATTTTCTCATTCTCTTGGGTTCAAAAGCGTTACATACTCTCACTCGCCTTATCATAGCCCTATTATTTGTTAATTAACAACACTGCACTTTTCTTATGGATTTCATATAAATACTTTACCATACTTCCATTTAGACTGATTAGTCATTTTTCATACTCATTAGGTAATTCCCAATTCCGTCTCATTTTTCTAATCCCCAAATTTGTCATCCCCCTCCAGATTACCCTTACATTACTTAATACACTCCGTACACTACAACTACCAGAATCTAAGTGGTGTAATGAATTCTCATGAAGTTTCACAGTGTTTGTTATACATATAGTTATTTACTGATGACAACGTTTCGAGCACAATTTATTACTGCTCATAATCACATCAAGTTACACACACAACCTTCGAACTTCGTTTATATGATTCCATTATTTCTAATCTCTCGATTTCATTGGTAGTAATATTTTCCATATCTCGAGTATTGGCGTTACCCCATTCCTAATGCGTGCGTTGGGTGTAGATTCGATGAACAAAGATTCAGTAATCAACTACTCTCTACCTCCATCTATCTATATAACTTTCTAGAGTTGTAACCCTCTCCCACCGTATTTTGTGTTTGTGTGTCAATGCATGCAGTGCGATTGTTGAGCTTTTTTCTAAATTACTTATCTTCGTGGGGTGAATCATTCTAACCTTCGTTAAATTCTTATATTCTGACTATCTGACTACCCCCCGATCTACTAGTTTGAACTTTGTAGCTGACTTATGTAGTAGTAGTAGTAGTAGTAGTAAGTGTCTAAAAAACTGTACAGTAATACTAAGTATTATGTCAAAAAACATAAAGGATGAGATGAAAAAGATAGAAAAGGGGTTGGCGACAGATAACTACCCTATGCAATTCATTAAGAAGACGAAAAAAGGTCACAAGAGAAATAAAAGTAATAGTAAGCTCAGTAATGATGACATAAATAAGGAAGAATATAAGGCATTTACAGTTTTACCATATAAGAAGGGGACACCTGAAACCCTAAGTAGGATTCTTAATAAAGCAGGAATTAGGGTAGCACTTAAACCTACAAACTCACTCAGGGACAACCTATGTAGGTTAAAGGAACCTAATGACCTAACTGGACAAAATAATATAATTTGCAAAATACTTTGATATGACTGTGAGGTCAGATACATAGTTCAAACTAGTAGATCGGGGGTAGTCAGATAGTCAGAACATAAGAATTTAACGAAGGTTAGAATGATTCACCCCATGAAGATAAGTAATTTAGAAAAAAGCTCAACAATCGCACTGCATGCATTGACACACAAACACAAAATACGGTGGGAGAGGGTTACAACTCTAGAAAGTTATATAGATAGATGGAGGTAGAGAGTGGTTGATTACTGAATCTTTGTTCATTGAATCTACACCCAACACGTACATTAGGAATGGGGCAACGCCAATACTCGAGATATGGAAAATATTACTACCAATGAAATCGAGAGATTAGAAATAATGGAATTATATAACGAAAGCCGACAAGGGAACGTCACTGTGATAATGAACAGGACGGATTATGAAAAGAAGGCGATTCAACACCTATCTGAAGGACCATACTTACTCATCGAAGAAAAGAAGAAATCTGCCGAATTCAACAAAATGAAACTAAATACAAACAGACTCCTTCAAGAAATGAAACTCAGAATTGGAAATTCTCTCTGGTTTAAACTAAAACCAAAATCTTATGTACCTTCAAGATTCTACAGTCAACCAAAGATACATAAACCCATAGTTCCATTAAGGCCAACTAACCGACATACAACCTCTCTAAATACTTACTCTCGGTACTACAACCACTACAAAAGGGCACTCAAAATATTGTAAAAAATTCATGTGATTTCAAATTCCAAATACAACGCCGAGAAATTGATAAAGAAGACATTATGGAAAGCTATGATATTAACTCATTATATACTAGTATCCCTATCACCGAAAGTCTTAATATCATTCCCAGTCTACTAGAATCAGATACAACGCTATCAAAAAGATGTCCACTGGACACCAGTGAAATAGTTAAGAGCTTGAAATTCTGTCTAGGAAGTAACTATTTTACACTTAATGGGAATTTATACATAGACAGACAAATGGTGTTGCTATGGGTTCACCAGTTTCCCCAATAATCGCTAACCTTTTCATGAATAGATTCGAAGATAACATCTTTTCAAGCATACTCACTCCTTAAATATGGTAAAGATATGTAGATGATACTTTTGTAGTGCTAAAACGAGATCTACACAGTTCATTCTTGGAGAAAATAAACAATCTATCTCCTAGAATCCAGTTTTCTTCAGAAGCAGAATCAGACTTCGGTGAACTACCATCTCTAGACTGCCTAGTTAAGAGGAGGGAGAACGGACATTTTAGTATATCTGTATACAGGAAGAAAACCCACTCCAACAAATATTTAGACTTCAGATCATCACACCCCATCAGCGCAAATGTATCGGTTGTTTCAAGTCTTCTTATACGAGAACACTCTTTGATATTAACAGATGAGAAGGAAAACGAAGAAAAAATATCAAACATTACTGAGACTCTTAAGCAAAGTAACTACCCAAAGAACTTCATCAACAAAATCAACACTGACATTAAGTATGGTCGAAAACGTATTCCGAAAACATGGACCTCAACATTTGTCATTCCATATAGAGCAGAGACGTCAGACGACAACAGAAGAGTACTCAATAAACACAGCATCAAAGTTTTATTCAAAACATCAGACACACTAAAAAGCAACCTTGTCCATATAAAAGACCAAATCCCTGAAGATTCTCTATCTAATTGTGTCTATAAAATAAAATGCTTGGAATATGAGGCGATATACATCGGACAAACCTCTCCAGAGAGAAATCAAGATCAGGAGAAATGAACACCGTAGAGCATCTGTTCGACCACCGAGAAATCCAGTTGAACTAGAAAAGCCTGAAAAATCATCAGCCACAGGTGGCCTACACGCTATAGAATCAGGCCACAAAATTGATTTTGACAATATTGAAATCATTATCCAGAAAAAGTTTCAGAAATCACAAAGAACGTCTAATATCAGAAGCACTTCACCTATCAAATGGAATCCAAATTGTCTGAATAGGAATGATGGATTAAAACAGAATTTGACCTGGTTACAACACCTCCCTCCCCCATGAAGTGAAAAAATCAACACGAATGTGATAAGCAATTTCATTATGAAAACACAAGTTGCGTTTACAATTTCACACACTTATCAAATCCAACAATCTACACTTGGTTTTGTTATCTTTATCAATTGGCCAATTCGACAACGCAAAAATGACCCCATGCTGAGGAATGATGATTAAGTTGTTATATATAAGCTGAGATTTTGTAAATTCTGGTTTAATAATACTACTTTGATAAAGCTATTAGCAGCATTAAATAGCGAAACATCAGTAAAAACAACAATATCGTTTTGTCTTTCATTCATTGGGAAATACAAAAAACTTTATTATAATGAATATCATATACCCAATGCCCAAAGTTTTTCAAACTGTTAAAAGTGAACTTGGTTTGGACATATATAACTTAAATAAAAGAAGTTGAGAAACAGTGCAGTAATAAATTGTGCTCGAAACGTTGTCATCGGTAAATAATACTAATACTGTAAACAAACACTGCGAGACTTTATCATTAAATAAATTTCCTCTGTGATGGAATTATACTCTACCACAATGCCCAGGTTGTATTTTTAAGTGATATGTTTTCTCCTATTTTCAGCGTTGGCAAAAATTGTTCGACCCATATGATACTGGTTACATCACACTGGAAGCGTATTGTGAAGCTTTTGGTATAGAAAAGAAACAAGCGTAAGTTATTAGCTGAATGTGAGAAAAATTACAAATTAATACTGAATTCAGCGAAGAAAATGCTTCTTCATCGACGAAATCATCTTCACAGTCGGCTGTACAGTCGTATTTATATTTACCAAAAATGTATAGTAGTCTATTATTGAGTAATAGAGGGGTGACATAATTGATATAATTACTCAGAAGTGGCTTTAGAAGTAAAAAATAAAAGTTGTAAATTGCGTGGTACTCAGCGGCACAAAGGAAGAAAGGGTTAGAAATTTGATAAGGTTAAAATTGCTATTGAGTGAGAACAAAGGTGGTAGTTGAGTGTCAATTCAACTACCGTGTGAAGAGGGTGTGAAAATGTACAAAAGGAACATATATGAGAGTGATAATAGTGAATTAATTATTAAAGTAAAAACAAACTAAAAGTAAAATTGAAAATTCAAAAATTATTTTTTGATAGGGAACGACTAGTGACGAGGTTAAGACCAAGGTAGAATAAGAGACTGGACAAACTTCTTCTGTATACAGAGAGAGTTCGGAGTTGTATTGACGAATTGCTCGCTAGTGACTTGCTACAGGATGGAGTTTTCTGGAGTTGTAGTGAGAAGTCGTGACCGGTGAGGTCCAATTAGATGTCACGTGTGTGGATGGATTTCCCACCAACGACAATGGTTGGGGTCTCGCTAAATCACGAATTGGTAGAAGTTAGAATTCGTGAGCCATTGAATCGCGTCCCAGTGGCTGAATGGTATACGAGCTTGCCTTGTAACCGGAAGGTCCTGGGTTCGAACCCTGGCAGGGGGTGCGTACTGCCGATGATTCCCAAACTAGGATGAAACAGCAGCTGTCCAGTACTCCCTGGTTTTCAATTGTTCTCTAACTGATATCAATCCGTGATCAACTCGTAAAACATACTTAATCCTTACAAACCAAACTATAGAAAAATAAACCTATCTTTACCGATTCTGGATGGGATGAATGAAAGTCTAAGTATTTATTAAAGTGTGTCGACTTCCCATGAACGCTAGTATTTTATCCACCATCTCGTTTTCGTTTTATTTTACAGTCTAGCATAGCCAACTTACCCTGTTGGTTTTCTAACTCAAAAGTGAATTGAATTCCGTCTACTAGTGAGTTTATATGTGTGAAAAAATGAGGGATATGTTCAGATTTCAGCACTCAGTGAATGTGTCATCCACATATCTCCATCATAATCTAGGAGCAGAACTAAACGTTCTAATAGCCTTATGTCCCCAACTATCCATAAATATGTCTGCTAATATCAGGGATATTGGTGATCCCATTGCCACCCCATTCGTTTGTTTGGATATTTTATTTTGAAACTTGAATACAGTGGAGGTTAGACATGACTGAACACCTAATGTAATTCCATAATTTTATCAATTCAACACCGCACACGTGCAATCGAAACGACACAACGCCTATACCGGGAATAGGGGAAGTGACAACAAACGGGAAGGGGAAGAAAGAGGCACAGATATATATATAAAGAGAGAAAAAATATGTGTAAGACAAATTGTGAAGCCGTGTGACTAAGTTGACATGACTACGCACAATAATTTATGCTCAACGTATCCGGTTATAATGCTATATCACTGTGGGATATTTGAAATAAACTTATCTAATGTGAAAAAAAAACAAACATCAGATGTCTTCCCACTGGTAATTCTGCTCAACCTCTCTCTTGTGTAACGCATGCGAAAAGTGTTTAATCATTTCTGCAAGTGTTTTCCGCACATGAAGAGTAAGAGTAATTTTTATTAATTTGAAATATGCTCTGCAATAAGTCAGAGTCACTTTGAATTTGTTTTCACCATTTCAGTGAAGCATTGATTTTTTTGTTTCATAAAGATGTACTAAGGGGTGTGTATTGATTGTTTCATCATCTACAGTCTTGAATTTTCATATATATATATATTATATATATATGGCATATAAATATGTACCATAAAAGTCAACATTCAGGTATAGACTGAGTTTATGTTTGTTTTGTTTTGCGTTTATTGTTTCATCGATCGGTGTTTGCACATTAATTTAGGCAGTTATGACAAGAGCTGAAAAGCAGATGATATTAGCATTTTGATATTGCCGTTCACCAACCTCGCCTAGTTAACTAGCCGGTCCTAAGCCTGGGTAAAGAGGCAGGGTTGGGTGTGGGACTAGCAAACCTACCAAACCTTAACCTATCAAACTGCTAGAGAAACTTCAACACACAAAAAAGATATTAAAAATACAAAAAATTCAATGAACGATCTTATTCTTCACTGGGATGGGAGAGTCGAAATGACACAACGGGCTGGTGAAAGGCTTCGGGAAGCCAGTCAGCCAGCCAGTGTGTCTTTTCTTGATGAAAGCAAGAATAAGAATGGGGATAATAATAATAATAATTTACTTTATTCCAAAAACAGTACTTATGATACAGAATGGAATTTTCAGCATTAATCACAATATTGCATCTAATTTCCTCAAATTATAAATAAAATTGATCACACAGAAACTTTTTAACATTTACAATAGGGGTAATGTCAAAAAAAAACGTGCAGCATATAAAATGGAAATAATAATAATGATAGCAGCTAAGATAATGATAATAATACAGGTGAAATTTGCCGTGAGCTTGTTTCACACAGTATTGTCGATGCGGTATACAAATCCTTGCATGATTAAAAAATACTGAACATAATGTTCTCTTTACATCTCCACTTTCTCCTGCATATTTGTTGAGCGATTGGTTCTTGTTTTGTTTGTTCCCATAGTTTCTTGTTGGTGATTCTTTCCGGCCATCTGATCTTCAGTATAGAGCGAAGACAGTTAGTTGTTGATAAAGGTCTGCAACAGGCTGTTGGAAATATTCTTTGTGACCCGCCACGTTTCTGATCCATATAGAAGAACTGACTTGACGTTTGTATTGTGGTTAACGGTATCGTTATATCACGAATTGAAAAATTTGGGACTCAATGGTCACTGAACTCCAGCTCAAGTGGCTTGCATAGTCAACGAGTTCGGCCTCGAAACCAGAAATTCTCGGGTTTCATAATAGGACGAAAACAGTGTCCTGTGTTTCCAGTTGGCTTTCAGTGTTCTCTCTAGCTGATGTTGATTCAAGATGAAAATCTCCACAGATTCTATATTCCGAATGTTGCATTGCTGCATAGTGAACTGTTGAATATATTCGGACGCAGTTTATCACTCTGAAGGTGGAAACAGCAGCGCATCATTTCAACTCATATAATTCAACTATCTTCTAACTCCGTCGTTTTTGTTTTCTTACATTCTAGTTATAAAATCAGAGGTGAACGTGAGAAAGCTTCAAAGGATAAATTAGGATCTGATGTTCATGTGATTTCACAACAAATGACTATCGATGATCAAATTCGTATTAGTAATCAAGCTCGACAATTGTTAAATGAACCAGATGAACTTGGAGAAAAAGAAATAGCGCACAGCTTGAAATTATGGCTGCATAAAAATTATGGTCCAACATGGCATGTTGTTGTACTACGTGGAGCTTATGGTTTATCATATACACATATTGAGAATCGATCGTTTCAGTTTCAGCTACGGGATAAGTGTTTTCTAATCTGGGGTACACCTGGTGAATTTCAGTTTTGAATTAACTGACCATTGGCTGTTGTTGTTGTTGTCTTTGTTGCTGTTGGGATGGTGATGATGGAGAGAAGGAGAATGAAAAGTTTATTTAATTGCATAATTTTACATTAATTAAAAAATATGAATAATTACATTTTACTTAAATAGTGTTTTTTATGTGCTCAGAAACTTACATTGTACTACTCACAATTTAGAGATGCAGAAATCTACATCCCAAATTTATATTCGAATGTCTTACTAAAGTTGCACTTTAGGGGCGAATATTAACCAAGCAGACAAACTGCCAACTATTAACCTTCTTTGTTATATTCGCTTAATTTCTCGTAATCTTAAAATAAACATGTTTTCTCAGTATCGTGCATTTTGTATTCCAATTGTTTGTGAAGACGAAAGTCTCATCGGCTGGTACACTTTGAATTTACCAGTGAACTAGGAGTCTGTCACGGTCATTTTATTGCTATTACTGTTCCCTTGAATTCCGAGTAGAACAAAGGGGTTCAACGGAACATCTTCATTATGTCCTATTCTCTGCAGTCCTCTTCAGCTGCCCCCCCCTCGATTCCCCATAAGCTTCACTCTCCTCCTCACATGATCTTCTCAATGTCATCCTCCGACTAACACTCAACTCGTCGTTTTCCATTCGGGTTCCACTCAAGGGCTGGCCTGGCGCGCGATGTTGCCCGACGGTCTTCTCATAGTGTGTCTGATCCACCTCAGTTTTCTTCTGCATATCTGTTAGGCAATAGGTTCTTGAAGGAATGAATTAAGTAAAGTGTGTTTAATAAACGGTATGTGTAAGTCTAACAAAATTCCTTTAGCGAATTTGGCATGACCATTACATGTCAACGATATGCCAAAAGGATACAACTCGTCCTACTGACAGTCATCGGAGTTCTACGAAGTATGTCATAGTCCTTTGTAAGCAATCCAGGAAAGAATAAGGGTGAACAGTAAAGAAGAATAGGTAAGATGCACGAGTTGACAAACTGTAAGAGGAGGAGGGGTTGAGTTATGCCTGAGTGCCTTAACTTCTTAATGTGAAAAGTCAGATGAAATATTCTTTTAGAAATCGCTAAGAAATGGGAGGACCAGGATAGGTCAGAAGAGAGAATTAATCCAAGATACTAACTTCACACTTGGTTTCTACATCAGTTCACAATTCAATGGTCATAGGAACAACAGCTTCAATTAACTTTCTTTTACATCGTAAACTGAAGTTAACAGTCTGACATTTGGAAGGATTTAGTTTAAGACCGTTAGACGAAGACCATTTTCTGACTCCTGAGAGAAGTTATCTTAGTACAGTCTAGCTGAGACATACTATCATCGTCAGAAAAAGAGTGTCTGACATACAGTGTACTGTTTCTTTGAGATAAGAATGAAGCCATTGACACAAGTAGTCACACGCTAGCAATGTCTAGGTACTATGACAATTCTTGTCTGTTCGTTCCCATAGTAACACGTTGCTAACTCTTCTTGTCTTCTGATATTAAGTATGGAGCTAGCGAAGGCAGCTGTTGATAAAAGCCTGCAGCAGCCTGTTGGAAATGCTTTTCATGACGCTCAGACCCATATAGAAGAATTGACTAACTGACTTAACATTGGTGTCGAAAATTGGAATCTCGTTCTTTATGCTGAGTGAAGTGCAGAAGATTTCCAAACCTATTGTGGAGTGATGAAGATCTATCTTTCCTTTCCAATTCTGATTTCGATATCCCCATCTGTGCTGTCACCTGTAGTTGAAATGATGGTGCTTAGATAAATGAACATTGTGTCTTCTTTAAAATTTGTTGCGTTAATAATGATTGGTGCCTCCTATCCTTATTGCTATTGTTCTTAGTTGGTTATCTTCATCACCTTCGTCTTCTAAATGTTGACTGGAGGTCTTCCCTTCTCTGTTTCTTCTTACAAATTTTTGGTCCTTACCTGTAAGTCGCTGAGTTTATGTTACATTTGACATAAATCGTCCTCGAAGTCCATATCTTCTGGAGTCTTCTTATCAGTCCACGTAAGGTACTCTGTATAATCCAGTCGACCGCAATTAGGAATATCATCATGGGTGGTAGGAGTCAGATTTGTCTTACTCCTTTTTTCACTTCAAAGGATTCTCTGAGTTTTCGGTTGTGAATCACTTGACACGTGATATTTTCACATAGCTGTTGAATGAGACTGATAAAGATTTAATTTGAAACCTTGATACTCATCACCGCAGTATAGTGTTTTAGCTGGCATCTGAGATAGTATAAGCCATCTTATCAACTGTTCACCTTCTCTCCCGTTTTCCCAAGTCATCGTTATTTTTATTGTTTGGGTGGGCGTTTCAATTAGCGATTCGATTACTTTTCCCTTTGTGCCTACTAGGTAGGATCTGTTAATGGCTATATCAGTTTTACTATGTCACAAATGGGACAAGCTAATGGAAAAGTCTCATATGAGTGACTAATATGGGTCAAAAACTAGTGAATAGCACAGAGAAGTGTCAAACGGTTGTTATAACCCATTCATGAAGAGCGAATTAGAGCCTCTGTAGGAGGATATCTGCAGCTCTGAAGTTTTATAAGTGATAGAAAGCGTCCAAAATCAGCTAAAAACTGGCTTTTAAGCGGTTCAAACCAGTTTAGACAGATTCAACCACTGGGTCGAAACAGAATATCTATCATTATACGACTGGATAACTTAAAGTCTGACTTTATGCAGTCAATAAAATTAATTATTTGAAAGCCCAACTTCCTAGGTATGTAATATCTGCACATAACTTAGTTTCGTATAATCATATCAAATGTTTCGCCCAGTCACTGGCCAGTCTGTCTTCTGTCTTCATTTTCGCAGGCTAAAGAGAATGCACTGATCACTAATCAATATCTGGTCGTCAGTCAAATTGGTTATTGCTTTTCAGTATCAAATCCACAGATCAGCACCGACATAACAGTAAGTACATCAAGCAAAACCAAAAAGAGCAGAAAGCAGAATTTAAACGCAGATAAAGACAACCTCATTGGGTTAAATGGAAACTACGAGTTTGAATGAAGTTTCATCGTAGAGAATAAAACACCTGGTAATTGAGGAGAATTTGAAGGTGTTCGGCAGCCCATTCAACAAGGCGTTGAACCAGTAATCCAAAGATCATCCTTTCAACTGCACCACAGATCGCATACGAAACTTTAGTTACAATACTCTTACATTAATAAAAATAGAATGTAGACAGCAACACAATAGTAATGATAATTAGGATATGAAGCAATGCTACTTAATAATGAAAAGTAGTATAAGATAGACTGACTTAAAATATTTGCGCTCTTTGGAAAAGCCTATAGACATAAATGCATACGGTATCAGTTCCTGAACATATATTTGTCTTCCGTCTAAATTCAGATCTATTTTATCCATATGAGTCAGAGTAACAGGGAATACTTTCGTCGTCTTTGAACTATAAATGGACTCTAAAAGTGCCATCAATGTCGGAGAAAGGATATATTAACTTTCATGTTTGGTTTTTCAAAACAGTCATTTGAGATAGGTAAAGTGTTGAATGACAGCATGTTCTGTAAGCTGATAATCTATTATTATATTATTATTGTTTCCTTTAATTCCTACAGGAACATAGGGCTTCAGCCGTGCGTCTCCATTGCCTTCGGTTCTCTGCTAGAGTCTTCACCTGGCTCCAAGTCTGCCCACACGTTTTCATCTCCTCTTCACATCACCTCCTCCAAGTCACCCTCGCACTGACGACCAACTCGCCGCTTCCCTTTCGGGTTCCACTCGAGTGATGGCTTGTCTAGTGATGTCACTTGATGGTTTGTTCTCAGAGTATGGCCAGCCAATCCATCTCCATTTCTTCCTGCTTATTTGTTTCACAATCGGTTCCTGGTTGGTTCGCTCCCAGAGATCTCTGTTGCTGATCTTTTCTGGCCATCTGATCTTGAGTATTGAGCGAAGACAGCTGTCAATGAAGGTCTCTAGTTCGTTTGAGGTGCTCTTTATGACGCGCCAAGTCTCTGATCCGTATAGTAGCACTGACTTCACATTGGATTTGAAAATCCAATCATTTTTGATGCTGGGTGCTGTTGACCTCCACACAGACTTGAGAGTAGTGAAAGCTTGTCTTGCTTTTCCGATCCTTGCTTTGATATCCTCATCAGTTCTGTCCGCCTGTAGCTGAAACGATGCTTCCAAGGTAGGTGAAGGTGGTTGTTTCTTTCAGGTTCCTCCCATTTATGCTGATCGTTGTCTGTTGTTGTTGTTCTTGTCCAGGAATCTCCATCACCTCTGTTTTCTCTATGTTCACCTGAAGTCCTATCTTTGATGCTTCTTCTGCCAACTTGTTGCTTTTCGCTCTCATTATCAGCAGTTGTGATCTAATCTGTGGTGAAACTTCTCTATTTTCCCTGGTGGTCGGTATTCAATCTAGTTGTTGATATACAGATGACAACAAAATTACTTCAGAATTTGGTTATATGTAAGAAAGCGTTAGTAGACGGTGACGTTTATATTTCTTAAAAGGTAAGTCTAGGTTACGCAACAAGGTGACAGTGAACTCACTGTTTATGAATTTATCATCAGTGTGAAGTGTGAGTTTGTTGGATTTAATAGTAATCGGTCGCACTAGACGAAAAATAGATATTATAAAGTGATAAGTCAAACGAATGCGATATTCTTGTTATAAGTTCAAAGGATGACAAGAAAGATGAAATAATATTGATAATAATAGTATACTGTGAACACCGTACGTGGAAAGCGAGAAAATAGGATTACGTTGGACGGATATGCAGACGACTGACGGTTTATGGCTAATGTCACACAAACTCGAAGACTTACGGTCGAAAACCAACAAGTTGTCAGTAGGAGCAGTCAGCAAAGACAGCAACTTAAAGTGAGTTTAGAGAAGAGAGGACGTCCAGTGAACATAGAGAAGACGGAGGTGATGAAGATAACCAACCAACCACAACAACAAACATCAATCACTCTCAATAGGAGGAATTTGACAGAGGTCACTTCTTTCACTTATCTGGCTAGGCAGCATCGTTCCATCTACAGGCGACAGCCACCATGAGGATGTCAAAACAGATCAGAATCGGAGAGTCAATACAGTTCTTCATCACTCTGAAATCAGTTTGGAAATCCTCTGCACTTCAATCACCATAAACAACGTGATTCTGATTTTCAGCACTACTGTTAAATCAGTAAATTCTTCTGTGTTGGTCAGAAACTTGTCACGTCACGAAAGCATTTAGAACAGGCTACTCCAGATGTTTATGAACAGCTGTCTTAGTTGGCTCCATAGTGAATATCAGATTGTTGGTGAGAAAGAATTAGAAACAAAAAACCTTGGTAACCAACGAACAAGCCAGGGAAGACTCGCT